CCGGGTGCGGGAATTTCTCGCTGCATTGAAGACCTGTTGGTGACCTTCTGCTGTTGTCTGTTCTATGGTCGGGTTGTTGTCTCTTTGACACATTCCCCATTTACATTCTCAATTTTATCATTATATATCTTGTCTTCTTGATTGATTAAATTGCGTTGTTTATTGTTCGAATGCATAAATTCATCAAAAAAGAATAATTTTGAAGAAAAAATTCCATTAATACGCAACGATTCTAGTTACTAGTTACTAGTACAACTAAATTTCCTGAATAGCTTGAATGACTTGTTCCTTTTTGACACGAGGCTGACTTCATGCCGGAGCTTCTTGTGACGATTGAAAAGAAGCTTCCATTTCAACTATATAGATGATGTACTCTCGCTTAATAGTGCAAAGTTTGTGACAATGTTGAACGCGTACTTTCCATTGAAATTGAAAATAAAAGACTCAACAGATACATTTAACTCTATCACATATGTTGAAATCGACGATAATGGACGGTTGAGAACAAATTTAACGACAAAAGAGATGATTTCAGCTCCCCAATTGTAAACGTTTCATTTCTATGTAGCAACATTACAGCAACGCCTGCATATCTATACTATTCAAGGAAGAGACCGATTTCATTGAGCCGCAACACCTCTGAAACCATACAAAATCGGAAATATTTATGATATGACGTATGAATGTAGTGTTTTGTATTTCCTAAATTTGTCTTTGCATGCTCAGTCGACGTTTTGTCCGCGAAATTTAAATAAACTCTTTGTTTCAACACTTGCCCAATTGTAACGCGACTTCGCGGCATATTCTTGAGGCGTATATATCTCCAAGTCGTTACAATATTCCAGAGCTTGCATTTACTTTCACGATTTCCTTGATGATGGATTGAAGCTATTGAATAAAGATAACTATAGTATACCGGTATTGAATAGTGATAAATCGATTTAACTGAAAAAATTCCGGATCACAAACCAAAACCGAGGGAAACACATCAACTATAAGAGAAAAAAACGGAATAACAGAAACACTGAACTGCTACAAAAACTAACGCCAACATACATAGAAACGGACTATTTGATAACAACTGCCATATGCCTGACCTGATACAGGACATTTGAAGAAAAATGTTTGAACATATTTATAAATCACAGTTCAATTGCAAAGTTGAAATCATCCCTTCGAAAATTTTATGGACGCCATTTCAAGTGTTTAACAGTTATGGAATATCTGATTCGCCAGATGACGACGGATCAATCGACGTAACCAAAATACCGCCATCTCTGCCTTGAATGTCACCTATCGAATAAGACTTATTACCGAGTTAGGAATTACATGAACCACAAGATGTGTGTCACATTTGGAACAGGATCTGGTTACCCTTTGGGGGTCCCTGAGTTCACCTCAAATATATTTGGGGTTTCTGTTACTCAATCTGTAATTTTATATGTTGTGTTTTGTATACTGTTGCTTGTCTTTTTCGTGTTTTTCCCCGGCTTTGTCAGTTCGTTTTCAAGTTATGAGTTTGAATGTCCCTTTGATATATGTCGTCTCTCTTTAAGTAGTTTTAAAAATTGTGGTTAAATGTATCACGATTACGATTTGGTCGTATATATATATCACCCTGAGCAAACTAACTTATTTTCGCGGATATTTGTCTTATGGCGTTTAATCTTCATCACTTCACTGTGAGGCGATTTTTTTGCCGATTTTCATAACTGCAACTTAATGTCTTCAAAGTAAAATGATACCAAAGGGACAATCAATCTCAAACCATGAATCAAAGAAACTTAAATAAAACCATCAAAATAATAAAATTAAAGTCCAAGAGACGAACAACAGTCCACAAAACGCAGCACAGCATAAAAACGGTCAGTGCCTAAAACAGCGAATGATCTTATGAGGTCAGGAAGGGTATTCAACCTATTCATTTATTTAATAATACAACTGCTTATTATGTTTTACAAACTCAATGACCTGCATTTGTATTTTTAAAAGCTTATGTTGAAAACACTCAAAACATCTTTCATTCGAATTATTAAAGAGATTAAACTTCTAAACACATTCAACATGTCTAACACGTTTTTAAACAAAATAAAAAACAGCAGCATTATATTTAGTTCGTTTACATCTCGCTTAAGACAACCAATTATTTTAAACGGTGGTTACTTATTTCAATGCTGCTTAGGATTTAGTCGCAAAGTCATGTTTGCATTTAAACATGATTACAAAAGGTAAATAAGTTTGATTCAGAAAAACAAATCAAATTTCTACCTCAATTAGCTCGAATATTTCTTTTCGGACTTTAAATGTTCCTTCTTTTATTATGGAAAATCATTCTCTTCCCTGATATTGACAATTAGCGATGTGCTATCTTAACATAAAATAACAAAATGATCGCTATTTGCAGATGGCAGATTTTTGGGCAACTGCAAACACTTCAATAAAAGGCTGTTCTATGAGCAATAGTTAATAATTGCATCTTAAAATTATAAAACAAATATTCCTTGACCTAAACAATATATATTTATCTATGTTTTAGCATACAAATATCGATTCCACAAGATATATTTTGCTTTTGGAACATTTTTTTAATTTTTTTTAAATTTTTTTATGAATTTCAATTTTCGGGAAAAATTGCGCAACTAACCTCTTGGATTTTGTATGATTTAAAAATAATGTACCATATTATATAAAGTTCATATGATCTTTGGAAAATTTTATGGTACAGGAACTAGAAAATGGCTTTTTGTTTAATAATCGCAAAAAATTTGAATGTTTATTCATGACCTTTGACCTTGATTTAACAGAAAATGCACCGTACGATTTTTTTACGACCGGGCAAAACAGAAAGTACAGATAATAAGCTTTCGAATGATATGTAATACAGCCGCGTGTTAGGTGGGTGTATTAAAGTCGTTAACTAAGCGTCTTTTTGAAATATGTCACTTGCCTATAAGGAACAAATCTCACAAACCCAGAACTTATTTCACCAGGTATATTGTGGAACTTATTTTATAGAGATGGAACAAATTATTTAGAAATTATCTGTGAAAAAAAGTTCTCCCGGAATGTTTCCTGTGATATTTATGTCACTGAAACTATGTTCACAGGAACAAATTTAGGCTTACAAAGTCCAGGGAACTATTTTTGAACATTTTACGTATATTCATTCCTTGATTATGAAAATGATTAGAAACTAAGGTTTGACTTCACTCAGCTAACCTGATTAATTTGAGTACTCTGTTTAGGTATTTTTTGTCATACAGCTCCTAACGTGGTAGCGTATTTTAGCATCCCTGATATTCAAATGGTTCGGTTTGAACGTTTTTCATGAAGGTAAACCCAGAAAAACGCTTCGAACGCAAGAAATTTGTAATGTGTTAATTTCATGTATGGATTCAGAAGAACAAAAGAATATAACGGTTACATTTGCAGATCAAGTCAAGAAGAAGGGACACTTTTCAAGTATCTATTATTAGGATATCTTGTAAGACGAAAACTGATCACCGTGTACACTGCAGAGGATCAAAGTAAAATTCCGGGTTTCAAATTAAACACTCTCAGGTTCAGAAGCATTCAACTACACTTCACTTTGCTTACCATCCTTTGAAATCACGACAACACTATAGTTGACAGGTCACAAACATATAACCACTTGCATCAGCGCAAATATTCCTGACGCATTTAGATTTACATTTTTATTTTGCAACAAATTACTCTCAGACGAATGAAGCAACAAACACAACCTCGTCAAATTATGAACGAAAATTTAGGTCTTTAAAACCATGCAGGTAAATCAAGTTCTTTCGTTTTGGAACATTTAAACAGCTAAATCTGGAACAAACTTCTCAATGTTTCTTGAAACAAATACGGTTCGTCTAATTTATAATTGAAATCAATACAACGTATAAACCATTTTAAAATCAGTTGAAAATGACTTAATTCATCAGATCGTACCAAAGCAGAAAAAAAAACATCTAACACAGACCGGACGTGGCAGGGTATTTATAACGTCCATAACAACAAAAAAGACACAAAATTCATACCTAAGTGTACTCGCAGTTACTGACAGCTAGTTCAAAGCCAATAACAACTAATAAAAGAAATCATGTATCTAAGGCTAAAATATCAATCCGTACAACATGTACAATTGTCAAATCAAATATCTCCTTACATATTTAAAAAACTATATATCAAAAGGAGACAGAGACAAAACCATATCCGCTGTGGCTGATGCCAGGAATACAATTTGGATATCTGGAGATATGAATAGTTTTTAACATAAAAAAAAACACCATTCATTTATGTGTTTTTCTTTCTGTTGTGTCTAACAAAATAAAACAAAATAATTCATGTTTATTTCTCCCTCACAGTTCCTAAAAAATATACAAATAGTAAACATCTTCAGCAAGTGCTTCTTCGAACTTCTTCTCATACAAGCAAACATATGCAAATGTATATCACAGAGATTAAATATTAGATTTATATGTGTCAAATAGTTCAAGAGAAATTGCGTTCACAAAGTGTTATTGTCAAAACTATTCAACGGTCAAAGTCCCATATAAGTCATTCAAAAACGGTCAATTCAAAATGGTGGCATCATATGACCAGCAACACATGATAGAAAACATTTCTACCAAGCACCAGCGATTTCTCTTGAACAGACTCCGAGCTTCAATAACATAGAAACGATTTTAAACATCGTCACTTTTGCTAAGCGTTTACTTCTTCAAACTTTTCATACAAGCAAAAATTACAGATAGAAATTACAGAGATCAAATAGCAAACACAAAATTTATTTTCATTTTTGATTAACAGATTATGGTAATTTCAACAGGCTTCCAAAGTTTTTTTTAATTGATCTTTAAAAGAACAAATAAAAAGCTTAGCACTCATACTGCACCTGCTATCGGAATATACATCCCCATTTCGACCGAATATTGCTGTTTATTTATTAAAATCCGTAATGCCAAACAGAAAACATTCTTTAGCTGTTAGCACCAGTTTTTTTTTTTTTTTTTTTTTTTTTTTTTTGTCGAACGGGAGAAATCAGACTGTTGATTTTTCTTCAGAATTGTTGTTTGAATTAAGATTAAGGTTTTTTTATAGCGTACTATATAGAAAAAACTTTGCCCATTGTTGACCGATTATTGGTAATACGGTGAACGATAGTTGTTTACATCCTAAATACGCACAGTAAAACTCAGTTTAAAAGTCAGAGTCCGATGTTAGAATAGGTAACAGAAGAAACTAAGCAAAATGACAATGACAATGATAACATAAATTAGCAAAGGACTAGTAGCAAGTACTGACAAGCCAGCACCAGATAGACCTCAACTAAACTGATTGAAAGATTATGTCTACAGTATATGAAAATCAAGCACAATCCCTCCCGTTTATATCATACCATCATAAGATATACGAGATGAACATAACTCGTATAATGCAAGCATTTAACAGTGAAGTATTCTGTGAGACGAAAAGTGATTACCATGTTGACTGCAGACATACAAAATAGAATTCCTGATGTCAAAATAGACACTCTTAGGTTCTGTAACATTCAAAACCACTTTGCTTTGTTTACCGTCTTTAGAAATAACTACAACACTGTTAGAATCTTTACAAGCAACAAATAAATTACCATAAGCGTCAGGGCACAAAGTTCGTGGGCCTTTGGTATTTTCACTTTTAAACTGCCACAGTTTAGTTCCAAGGGAATGGTAACAATTGACACACCCTTGTTCTAATTCGGAACAAAAATATACGTCTTTAAATGTATGCACATAAATTAAGTTATTTTGATCTGCTTGGAATATTTTGACAACATTTCCAGATAGATCTAACAGTAAAATTTCCTTTCTCTTACTAGCCACAATAATGAGGTTATTTACACATTGTATGCCCCAGCAATAGTTCTTTAATTCAATAGCTTGTACTTCAGTGTAATCCGTTGTTTCAAATATCTTTATTGTACAGTTATAAGGAAAAGAAACGGCAAAACGACCCTTGTCTATACATGCCACACCAAATGGCGAGATCGAGGAATTAAATCTAATAGACTTCAAAATGCTTCCGTCTGAGCAGAACACAAATATTGAATCGTTGTCAAAATCAGCAACTACTATCTTTTTCTCTGGCAGTATGATAGTAATACTGGTAACATTTGAAGTTTTCTGAAAAACAGATTTATCGAAGTTAGTTTGGAGAATAGCCGTTACTTTAGTCACATCTTCAGAAACAATTTGACACGAAAGGTTTGTTGATGAGTCTAATATAACCGTAGATTTGTCCTTTTCAAGATGAACATCTAAAAGTTGACCGATTGAATCTTTCAAATTAGGGTCTAATGTAAACTTCAAATTTAACTCTGACATCTTTTCTTCTGCCATCACGGAGTTCAATGATTCACCTTCTTTTGAAATGGCTTTGTCTATCTGCTTGCTGGATATAAATACTTGTAAATTAGTTCCACCTCTTTTTAACTCTGTAAAGTTGTTTCTGAGTTGATTCACGTTGCGTTTCTTTTCTTCTAACTTTTGGGGAATTTTTTCAATACTTTTCGTTTCGTCTTCGATAATTTTGTCACTCTTTGAAGCTAGATGAATTTCTAAATTATCTAAATGAGTATTGATTTCTTTTCTCAAAGTTTGTATATCAGATCGACTTTTCCTCAACTGATAACTAATTGTCTTTTTAGTGCTCGCACGATTTTCAATTATTTTGTCGATATTGTTTACTAAAACATCAAACCTCTGGTCAAGATGATTTAGATATTCTGACTCCCTAAATGTTGCAACAACATTTGGAAGAGATTTTAATCCAAGACATGTCGAATGATCTAGTGTTGCACAAAAAGAGCAGCAAGTCGCTTCATGATTAGGACAATAAAGTTCAAATGGAAGGCCATGTATCTTACATTCCGTTTCGATAGTTGCTATAAACGGCTTTAGTTTCATAAATTTGGTAAATTCTACAGTTATGTGACTTCTAGATGCCTTGATGGCTTTATGGTGTTCAAAAAATTCAGCGCACAAACCTTCTTTACAAGAGTTACACCAATACTTTGGCGCTCTTGTCACAAGTCTTGTTTCACAAGGACCACAATAGTTGTTAGATTTTGGTTGAATATCTGAAAGAAAAAGTGTAGCATTAAAGTAAAATTGGGAATGGAAATGGGGAATATGTCAAAGAGACAACAACCCGACCACAGAGCAGACAACAGCAGAAGGCCACCAATGGGTCTTCAACGCAGCGAGAAAATCCCGCACCCGGAGGTGGTCCTCTTAACAGAAAAGAATATTACAACGAATTACATTGGTCAATACGGGATTGAAAAATTCGCCTTGTTCACTGATCCATGAAATGAGGTCGAGGTCAGATGAAAACTGACTGACAGGCATTTGGTTGGCGCCTATTAAAACGTTTAAACCCGCTGCATTTGTTTGCACCTGTCCTAAGTCAGGAACCTGATGTTCAGTGGTTGTCGTTTGTTGATGTGGTTCATAAGTGTTTCTCGTTCTCGTTTTTTATATAGCTTAGACCGTTGGTTTTCCTGTTTGACTGGTTTTACACTAGTAATTTTTGGGGCCCTTTATAGCTTGCTGTTCGGTGTGAGCCAAGGCTCCGTGTTGAAGGCCATACTTTGACCTATAATGATTTACTTTTACAAATTGTGACTTGAATGGAGAGTTGTCTCATTGGCACTCATACCACATCTTCTTATATCTATATTTGAATGCAAATACATATCAAAATATGACTTTCTTTTATTTTTCTACCTTAGAACAATTCGAAAATTATTTTGAGAATTAATTTGTTTATCTCTACTTTCTTTAAATGCTGAATTTTTTTTATTATATTCCAATATCAACAAACTTGAAGACTACATATTATGATACATACTGGGAAACAAGTAACTTGCGAATTGATATATAACTATGAATGAAACAAGAAGAGGGGGTATGAAATAACTGAAAATGACACAAAGTATTACGCATCATTATTTCAATGGATTATTATGTAATGAAAAATTTAAATTAAAGTTTGAAATTATTTTCAGTTAGTACATTGTACTTCACAACGTGAACATATATTGGAACCTGTTCGATTTAAAAAATAAAGAAATGTCCCCTAAATACTTAAATTCAGCTGAAAAAAAGTTCGTATGCGTTATGACCTGAGATTTTCTTCTTCAATGCAGGTCATGACCTGCATTTTTATAAGTTGACAGGTATGGACAGACGGAAACTTTATAAAATAAGGCATCCATATTCAAAGTATGAAGCACCCAGGTCTCCCCCTTCTAAAATATAAAGCTTTTAAGTATTTAGTTACGCCGCCGCTGCCGACGGCTTACTATTCCTATGTCGAGCTTTCTGCGACAGAAGTTGCAGGCTCGACAAACAAACCAGACATACGAACGAGGATAAACAACAACGCACAACACAAGGTCAAGATAGCCTGACAGGTGGGGTAAGACTGCTTTACGAGCAGACAAACCTCCCGTTTTACATTTTGCAATCTTATGTATTAAAATTTTAACTCTCAATAAAAACCATGCAGTACCTATCGGAATAATTTGTATTAAAATTTAAACACTCAGTAACAACCATGCACAGTTCATCTATCAGTAGGATGACCACTGCTTTGAAAAAGGAAATAACGCCACATAATTTGGAAAAACAGGATAAAATGTGCATGCTACTACATGAAGCTACCTAAGGTACATGTAGCTAAAGCTGTTCTTTTGAAATTCCAAAACTAACAGTTCTGAAACAAATAATAAATATAAAATATCAATTTAAATCATTGCTGCAATAAAAATAGATAAATAAATGATATAAATCTTGACTCTGTGACCAGTAGACTCAGGCGCTTGAGTAGAGAATTTATATTTTATATTTTATATTTGTCATTATTTGAAATGAATTTTCTTTTTTTATACCATCTACTTACCACTATATGATTGTCTTACCTAGGATTTGGTGAATTTATCAGGGGAAACTTCACTATGTTGAGCGAATGGATGAAAAAAAATGATGCTTTTTCGCATGAAATTGTGATAACGTCCTTACGGAACAAACATTATTTCTAGATAGATCTAGATTATCCTGCACAATAACGACCACGAAGACCCTTTACGAATTTTGATAGTGCAGGGATACAGGCATGTTCCTCTGTGTGGTAAATGACGTTATAAACACGATAAAGGAGAGCATAATTGAATCACTTATCTGGTGAAAGAAATAATTCAGAAATCCCATATTGCATTAGTACGCCTCAAACATTACTAGTCCGAAGTTGCTTTCCGTAGAATTCGAACACTCACGTTTGAAAATCGCATTGGAGAAATCCAAATATATAGACAGAGCAGCTCTTACTTTTTAGAATTATTTAAACTTTGCTAATACTTATTTATATAAAAATGTACCTTCTACTGAAGTTTGTCCTGTGTCTAATTTGAACTCTGCCATTTGAACGACGTCAATCCAATTTGAAATGTTTACCTGTATGTAATCACCTAATTATGCATAATAATTACGGCATGCCAAAGGTGGAACGAAATATAAAAATAAAATTGAACAATTAGTTGCCGATATTATTTACTTCATCATCCATTAGGGTAAAACTTTTTGAAATTAAGAAAGAATGCGGTATATAATTTGCTCATTGTTGAATTATGTACGCTGACCTATACTAGTTGCTAACTGCTACATCATTTGGTCTCTGAAAGTGAGTTGTCTTATTGACAATTATATCATATTATCTTTATTTTCTTATATATTGATAATTTAAAAAAAAATGTCGATTCATTCCGTATGCTAACTTAATATGAATGTTTTTCATTAAATCATTCCGGTTTAAATATTGACAAAAATGTTTGTAGGATTTTTAAGCAATAATAATAAAAACCATCATACATCAATTTTAAAAATGGAATCAGGATAAATTCAATTTTGTTTTAGCGTCATTCTTGTTCGTACAGTATCAGGTTACTATATTTTGAATTATTGTTTTTAAATTTTTTGTCTTGTAATCTGCAAAAGGTAATATTTTGGTAATTAATATAAGTTGATGATAACTCAAACAAAAAAAACATTTTTTTTAATTATTCCTTTCAATATTTTTTTCAATAAATTGAATTTAATCGGTATACAACAAATAATATATGCTCAGCCTTTTACAGATGCTAGATTAACCGTGGAATTATTTCTTCCTAATATTAAGGAACTTGATGATTTCAGAAGAACGAAACATCTTAAAAATATAGACCATATACAGTCGTTTGTATTTGCGTCCTATCATTTATTTGTTCTTCGCACAAATATCTTTCTTTTGGAAGGGGTGTTGCTTAGACATTATGCACATGCAACAGTTTCAGTTTTAACGGAATGTTTCTTCTCCTTCCTCGTCTTCTATGTTGTAATTATCATTATTGTTGTTAATATTAGAGAGAACAGAATATACAACAACAGACCAAACCAACAACTAACCATCGGCTCCTCCGAAAAATAGATAAATAACAACTGACAACACTTGTTGTTATTTTGCTACGTTTTTTTCGAAATTTATCACTAAAACTTATTTCTTTACTTAATTCTTATTAGTTGACTTTAATTCCTATTCTATTGTATAACCTTCTATGGCGTCTATATATCATATATATAAGGCATTCACTGATTCGTAAGCAGCGTGACACTTAAAGAATGAAGTAATTCTTTCTACTATCGTTATCGTAAGTAGCTGATATGCCATCTGTTGCTCTCAAGCACAACGACTAAGTTGTACAATTAAAATTTACTTGTAATTTTATTTAATAACGGCATATTTTTTTCATAACACTTATATGTAACGTCACACATACAGTCGTAATAGTCGAAACGTCAGATTTCACCTTCCCACTACATGTTGTTTGTTCTCTGACACTTATCATCAATATAGACCATGTAAAACATGGGATATGCTTACGAATTACCTCGAGATAATTTTTGGCAAAACCTTGCGGAATATTTTTGGCCCTCGTACTGTATTTGGCCTTTTAACCTGTTTGATTCGAGCGTGTTTTGTCAACGAATCGCGCGTCCGGCATAGAAAATTATAAGCATGATTTCTTTGATGAGTTTTGTTAATATATCGATGGACATTAGTGTTTACTATTTGATTTCAAGAGCTATAATATACATTGCGAAAACCTCTTTTATATTATATAAAATATGTCTTACTGATATCAATTAAGCGGCATTCATTATCCCTTGTTATGAAACTCGCACAAATATTCTGTGGTTAATGTCCTTTTGGTCACAACTAGTCTTCTGTTTGTAGTTGTAATTTCAGACTTGGGAACCATAAAACATTATAGGAAGAATTTACAAGTTTTATATGCATCAAATTTGCACTTATTCATAAATGCCACATATGTTTCAGCAATCATTCACGACGAGTACAAACAAAAATGTATCTCTGAAGATGGGCCTTTGGACAGTTCCGATTTCGCAGGGAAAAATGCAATGTGGTGAAGTCTGGGCCTATAGAAAAGTTGTGAATTTATGTAACTGAGACTATCAATGATCTGATCTATTTACATGTTTCAACGCAAAAATCTTCAGATGACAAAATAAAATTGAGATATAACTAAAGACAACCACCGAAGAGATTGGTGATTTATCAAAGGTGTTGCATTTGGAGCAGGATCAGCAAACCTTGCCGGAGTACCTGAGAACATCCCTAATTTTTGGTCGGGTTCATGTTGCTCAGTCTTTATTTTTTATGTTTTGTATACTGTTGTTTGTAATTGGGCGTTTTTTTGTTTTTTGCCTTGGCATCGTCAGTTCGTTTTCGACTTAAGAGGTTTATTATTCTTTTTGGTATCGTTCGCCTCTCTTATATATGAAGAGTGTTAATAAGATATTGAGAGATTATGGTTGAGTGCCCATTGAGTAGTATAGCCCGCAACATGGACACGCTCATCAGGTCATGTAAATCATATCAATGGTTGCCTTATGTTATCTCTCAATGTTGTTCTGTCCATTCAGGATATGGTTTGAGCCTTATTTAATTTATATAGACTCTGAGCGACATACAGCTTGAAATATTTCGTATAGACTTGCATATTGTTAAAGAACATGTGTTGGCTTTTAAATGTCTGGTGAATTTTTTGGGGTTGTTGAGTATTTCTTTCATTGATGTATATCAATCATCTTCTTTTGTTAATAAGAATATAAAATTGGTTACATTAGTGAGTTTGAGTTTGAATGTCCCTTTGGTATCTTTCGCGCCTCTCTTTTACATTACTCATTAACATTTCGTAATAATTGAACGTACTGAAGCATCTAATGCATACCACAATTGTACATTTATTGGTTTATTATGGTCTATTATTAACACAAGTTGTGCAACAGATGTGTCAATTATATTAAATGAAAATGTATAGAAGACTTAAATAATTAAACATTAATAGTAATATAAATTTGTTGATAATTGAACGTACTGAATCATCTTAATCAAACCACAATTGTATATATGTTGATGTATTATAGTCTATATACAAGCTAAGATGTGCAACAGATGTATCAATTAAATTAAAGGAAAATGTTCAGAAAACTTAAATAAAAGATTATTTAAAAAATATTATAAAGTTTTATGCATGGCCAATTGTATAAGATAATCTTACAAAAGATTGTAGTTGGTAACAAACGGGGTTAGATTTATGTTAGTGACGGATGATGCAAGCATTTACAATAGGACACTTTTCATCTATGATTACATAACAGTTACTAATAAAGATGGTACTGTAAATTCAGAAATTATTGCGTGCATTTATTATTGCAATTTTTGAAGAATAGACAAAAATGCGAGATCAATTATTGCGTATTTTTTAATGAAAAATTATTCGCATTAGAAAAAATTTCGCAATAATTTTCTGAATTTACAGTATTATCATGATAACTAGACTGACCAATAAAATATCAATACCGACAACCAGTTAAGAATTTTTTTTATTTATATATAATATTAAAAGAGGATGATTGAGTGTTAAAAAGTAGCTTTGTCCCGCAACATGGGCACGTGCCTGCAACCAGTCACATGAATATCGTCAGTGGTTGTCTTATGTCATATCTTGTTGCTATTTTGTCCTTTATGAAATTGGTGCTGCTTTAAAATTCTTTATATTTATTCTCTTTTCTAGAAAAAGCTTGATTCAGAGCTTAAAATATTCCGTAGACACATGTCTGTTGTTATGGACGATATAGCAGCTTTCATTTTCATTTGAGTACGTCCTAATTTTCAAATTCGAGATCTGCCAAGTTAAGAAAGTGCCTATTTACTGACAATATTTATCTGGTATCAAATTGAATCATGTTGACCTATAAATATCTGTGAAGTTTTTGTGTTGTTGAGTGTCTCTTTCTTTGGTCACTATGCCACATCGGGCTTCCCGATCCGAATTCCAATAATCCTAGCAATAATCGAGACCATTTTTAAAAAAAGTAAAACAGAAATAGAAAAAAATGGGAATTGAAAACCATTTTTGTAAAAATATTTTCCTTTAATTTTCATCCTGAACAGAAATAACTTTTATTCACACAAAAGTAATACGTTTATACCAAAAGTTCACGTGGTAATGAACCAACAACCGACGTGCTTCAAAACTTCTTAACAATGTAAGACGGAAATATAAACTTTACTTATAGGTTGAAGACAAAACTTGGTCATATTTTTCGAAGACGTAAAGCCCGAGGCGATAAAGAATAACGTAACAATATGAAATAAAATTGCACTAAAAATCAACCTAAAACAGCAAGGAACCAGTATGGACAATAAGAGGGAGCATGTTTTGCCTTCTTATATGATAATAATTAAGTAATATGCTAAAAGTAGTTCAGATCAAATAATTTCAATGGTTTTTATAACAACTCAACATTGCTCACTGATCCATGAATATTAGCAGATAGCAGTTAAATCTACCAGACGGACATATAAACTTTACAATGTTTTTTTTTCTAAATTTTTTACCTTTTACTATAACTATAACGATATTGACCGTCCATATCGCAAACTATTCACTTGATCAATGAGTCATAAAAATAACGTCAAACGGTATGCCTAACAATTATTTTGTTATTCCAATACAGTCAAAGAATTACATTGAGCATATTAGAAATTCCTCTTTTTTTGGAGAAGTCGAAAGATTAGATAGAAGATTAGCAATCCGCTGCTGCGTGATCTCTTATCACTAAGTATCACTTATCAAAGTAGTTAATAGGAGTAACAAGACGGGTGTCACTAGTGGAGCACAATCTGCTTACAGGAGCAACTGAGTTCACCTCCAATGTTTGGTTGTGTTTGTGTATCTCAGTGTTTAGTTTCTGTATACTATTTTGTGAACTAGTTTGTCTTTTCGTCGTCTATTGATTTTTGTCATGAAGTTGTCAGTGTATATCGACTTATCGGAGGGTTGAGCGCTCACAAACATGTTCAACCCTGCCACATTAATCATGTGCCTGTCCCAAGTCAGTTACCTGTAGCTCAGTGGTTGTTGTTGGTTCGTGTCTCTCATATTTGTTTTTCGTAAATTGTTTTGTTATACATGAGGCAGTTAGTTTTTTCAAATGAATTGTTTCATCTTTTTCATGCCTTTTATAGCCGACTAAACGGTATTGATTTTTCTCATAGTTTACGGCCGTACGGTTGCCTATAATTGCTTACATCCACTTCATTTGAAATCTGGTGGAAAGTTGTCTCATATGCAATCATTCCACAACTCCTCATTTTTATATTAGACGTTTTGACTGTCCCATTGGTTTCATCAGCCAACTTTACGATTTTTGTCTAATTGTCAAGCTATACTGTTTTTTGTAATTGCTTATGTCCACCTCCTTCGAATTCTGGTGGATAGCTGTTTCACTGGCAATCATACCACATCTCTTTATTTTTTATAACAAATGGAAACAACACGTACTAAATATCATGCGTCCGAAGATGAATGTGAAGTTAGCGGCCGGTTCGTTATTCGATATTCAATATCCAAACGGCTGCTAGCAGTCGGTTCGATATTCAAATTTTCTTAGTTGAATATAATAAAAACATTCAATAATATTAAAAGCATGATAGTAATAGTTTAATGGAGTAAAAAGAGATGTAGCAAATCTTTTTGTGACTAATTCAAGTTATCGTCAAATATAAACGCTTATGTAAATCAAATGTTTACGTAGTGCTCAAAGTGCCAGTATAATATTCAAAATATATAGTGAAAACCTACCGGAAACAGCTTAAATAACGGTGAGACCCCCCTGGTCTTTCAATGTCAATAAAATTGAATGATCTTTTAGACTATAGATATAAGAAGATGTGGTATGAGTGCCAATGAAACAACTCTCCATCCAAGTCAAAATTTATAAAAGTAAACCATTATAGGTCACAGTACTGTCTTCAACACGGAGCCTTGGCTCACACCGAACAGTAAGCTATAAAGGGCCCCCAAAATTACTAGTGTAAAACCATTCAAACGGGGAAGCCAACGGTCTAATCTATATAAAAACGAGAAACGAGAAACACTTATGAACCACATCAACAAACGACAACTACTGAACATCAGATTCCTGACTTTGGACAGGTGCAAACAAATGCAGCGGGCTTAAACGGGCTTAAAAGTTTTAATGGTACCAAACCTTCACCCTTTTTCTGAAACAATAGTGTAACATCACAACATAGACACACTATAAAATATCAACTGAAATAGCTTAACTCAATCAAATATTAATACCAGTGAACATACACTGAACAAATAAATTTGACCTATGATACAATGTAAATACAAAATAAATAAACTAAGGGAAGAATAATAAAAGTAACATGTTATACCGCTATGAAATGTTAAACAATCTAAGAAAAAACAATCTGCTCGAACAAAAATATCAGCCGTTTGCAATAACTTTAAACACAGGTAAATGAAAATAATTTTGTAGTTAGGTATACGTATACAGTTCCAATAGAGAAAGAAAATATTTTTACAAAATAAATAATTTTGATGTTAATAGTACGAAGTGAAAATTTATAGTAATACAAAACACTTATAAAAGCTGGTATATAGACCAGATATAACCCTGAATAACATTAAATAACAAAAAGCAATACAATTAGTATCAACAGGTCAAATAAACAAGAAAGTACGATTTGAGAGTACTCACAGTTACTGACAGCTAGTTAAAAGCCAAAACAACTAATAATAAAAAATCATGCATCAGAGACTAAAATCAACTAAAACACATCCCAGGGATTTAATATTTTAACGTCATGGACAGTCAAAGAAGACATGACTAGTGCAATGCCAAAAATAAATGTATCGACAAACAGTAGGATAGTTAGGAGTTTAACCTCTTTATAGATCAAAACGAACGTGGGTGTGTCTTTATACATCCCGTTTGAAAAGAATACACATTTAGTTATGTTTTAATTTACTGATGACAAAATCGATATTAGTGCCAATGTAAACTATATTCAAAGATCTAATTACAACATTGGTAAGATAACCTTTAGTGTATGTCTATATACAGATCGTGTCAAAAGGATTGTTCAGAATAATGTCATCTTCGATATCTACGGAGGGCTTAATTTGTCACTTTTTCGCTAAAAATCGTCGAAAATTCAGATAAAAGGGTACAGGTCGATGGCTAGACCTCCCTGAATTTTGTTTTTAAACTGGGAAATTGGAATCGAGGAATATGGTAAGTTTGTATGTAAATGTAAATATCAAATAAGTATCAAAAGGAAGAAATTGATATTCAATTTATTATTTTTTAATCTCTGATGTCTGTAGTCGTATGTTATATGTCTACAGTTTATTCTTTAGATCCATCTTCAAAGCTATTTATCACAACAACCTGAAAAATAGCAAACTGTTTAAGTACGCATCTACAATTCGGAAAATTCAAAGAAGGTAAGGCTATCTAAATTTCTTCTCTCTTGTCAATTTACAAATGATAATAATTTTATTTATTTCAAAACTTACAATATATGGTTTGGTAGAACAGTTACCATGGTTACGAGGTAATATTTTTCCCCAGTCAATTTAAAACGAAGGTACTTTCACAAATCCTTTTTTCGAACGGATTAAATCAAAGATTAACACAAGTCTAGAAATTATGTGGAAATAGATTAAAAATAAACACTAAAATGAAATTTGAAAAATCTAAATTTTTAATCAACAATTATAAAGGTTTTTAATACTCCCACATAATCCCCTAATTCGTTCGCTTCTAATATGGTTGGTGCTTAGTTGATTTTAATTGACAACTTTTTATTGTTTTATTTAATGATTTGTATACTTCATTTTTTTTTTGGTTCTTTTTTCACAATGCACATTGTGTCGATCCATTTTCAATTCACCCATTCTAATTGTTTGTTGAATAATTTTTGTATCAATTTTGAGATACTGTCTTAAGAAAATCAAGAAATTACATATCTATTAATTTTTTTTGTATATCGTCTTCGTTTGTCCTTTAATTCGTTTCTTGTGGTTTCTTTGAATCTCATCTGTAAATTACTCTCATGATAAGCCAATGTCGTACGGGTTCTGATCAGACCCCCATTGTCATGTTTGGATCGTTTCTATCTTTGTTATGCTATGGACTTAACGCCATGCTAACAAGTTTCAAAAACATATATACTAATTTTCACTGCTTGCTAGGTACTGTACTGTTAATTAATTGTTGTCTCATTCACTTCGATGTGAAGTTTTCTTTTTGTACTTTTACCCCTTATGAATGATTGAAATATTTGGCAATTGTTTTCAATGGTTAAGAATTCACCACTTACCCTTTACAGGATTCATACAGGTATGCCCACACCCGTTAAAACATAGTAGTTTTCCAGTCGGACAACCACCGAGTTCTACACATGCACCAATGCCGGGTGGAGGGCATACATCACAATCCATTGGGCCTGAAAAATGTCAAGGTACATTTGCATTCACAACATAAAACATATGTTCTGTGTTCTATTAATAGGTTTTATATCATACTCAACCAGATTAGAACTAACAACGTGCAAGTAAACAACTATAAAAGACACAAAGGACACAGTCATAGTTAATAAAAGCTAATGTAAAGCCTAAATACGACGTATATATAAACCACAGTCTGCGAAAGGCATGACCCTGTGCATTGATAAAATAGAAGTTGTAAAGTGATTAAGACGATAAGTGTTAATACCTGGATAGCCACTTAAATGTTTAGTATGAATAAAAAGAGATGTGGATAATACATTAACGAAACATCAATACAACAATAACAATACATTATTCAACAATAGTCAGGTACATGAATAATATATCAACCTCAAAATCGTCCCGATTCTATGAAATTGAACAAATTTAACAGAAGCAATCAATGAGCTGCCATCAGCACAAAATTCTCAAATAACGAGACTAAATAAGATATTATATATGTTTCGTACTTTGTTTGACCTGGGCAGGTATTGAACGCATAACATCCTGCACTCGATGCCAACATGTTGCATTCAGACCAATGAGGCATTAAATAAAAGTCGACGAAAGTCTTTACTAAATACCTTTAGAAAAATCAAGGAAATATGGGTAGTTTTTCGTCTTTCCCTGCATGCAGTACAACATATTCAAAATTTTATTATGCCATCTATTAGAAAAAAAAATCTACTTTTGAAATCTTTATTTTTTTGTAGGTCTATTATCATAATATAGAATAACAAAAATCATTAATTATAATTTTGTTTTTAATTGAGGTACACATGTTACGGTATACGTACTGATCGTTTAAGGAAACAGATGGCCACTTCAATATTCATATACCCATACTAAATTGAAGACAATGGTAGATTTTTCAATATTTGATTTGGCGCAATACAACTGTACCTTTGTGTAGCAAAGCATATATGGTAGTGAAAAAGGGAGAATGAGCAATGTTGAGACTATTTCGACAAAAACAAAGTGGTGGTTTGCAAAGATATTCAACCCCGCCACTATTTCTTGTTCTTAATGGTATTAGAATAAACGAGAAGGTTGGTACTTATTCTTTTAATTATTGCACATAATCTAGACACCTATAAACGCTGATTAAAGCATGTATAGGGCAAGATGTTTGTCAACTGGAACAAAACGCAATTTCATAAGGAAAGTCATCATACGACATTAATGTACAAACAATCCAGATAGCTCTACAACCATAACAATGAAGATCCACAATAGCTCAATTGTCATAACAATTATCAGTCAAAGGGTCGTTAATTGCGAATAATCGGTCAACCTAAAAAACAAAAATCAGCAAGCTCAAATTGTAAATCATAATTTATTAAAATGTCAATAAAACAGCTCCTATCACAAACAAATTCAGGAGATGTGCAGTTTTGAATAAAGACATATATCGATATAAGAAGATGTGGTATGAGTGCCAATGAGACAGCTCTCCATCCAAGTCACAATTTGTAAAAGTAAACCGTTTTTAATTCACATGCATACAATTTCTATTTATATTATTTATTGATAAATACAATAGTGCAGAAGAAGTGGAAATAGATTTCAGGTGGGGGAAGTTGTTTTTGACTTCAGGAAACTTTATTTGGATATTCCTAGTTTTGGTCTCATTGAGATTTACCAGACCTTCATACAATTTCAGTACTTTTTTATGTATTATTTATGGACATTATGTTTTTCGGTTTGTGCGTCCGTTCGTTCTTCCGTTAATCCGTCTGTTCCGTTTCAGGTTAATGTTTTTGGTCAAGGTAGTTTTTGATGAACACTGATGAAGTTGAAGTCCAATCAACTTGAAACTCAGTACACATGTTCCATATGATATGATCTTTCTAATTTTAATGCCAAGTTAAAGTTCTGACCGCAAATTGACGGGCCACTGGACATTGAAAATGATAGTGCGAGTAGGGCATTCATGTACTATGGACACATTCTAGTTCAAATCCTTTATTAAAGAAGTTAGTATATTTACTTCAGATAAAAGTACTTATTTGACGAACCAATCTAATTACAAAATATATCTCTGATTTCGTTATACTTATATGTATGAGCACGTTAATATATGTATGAATTTTTATAAGATTACTGGACAAAAGCGTTCAATCTTCGGATTTAATTCTTAACAATTTTTCCGAGCGGAGCGAGTCGAAAAACATTGACGTCTTTCAAGGCAAATTTTGTATGTTTGCTATACACATAAATTTATTTTTCAAACTTGGTAATTAATTATTTAATCTAAAATACAGTCCTAGATAATCAAATAATCATGAAATATTTGGTCTAGTAATCATATAATCACACACAAAAAAAAAACAGCCAAGTAACCACATAATCAAAAACTCCATGAGGAGGCTCATTAAAGATGGCATATTTTTGTATTAATATTGATTCACTTATAGGGTTTTTGCATCGGTAATAACCACATTAATTCTAAAACCAGTTGTTGGCATTATACGAGTCATTTTCTTCTCATAAATTTTATGAAGGTATGATACTAAACCCCTCACAGGAGGGATTGTGCTTGATTTTCATGTGATGAAGACATAATCTTTCAATTGGTTTAATTGAGGTCTGGAGCTGGCATGTCAGTTACTGCTAGTAATCCTTTGTTAAGTCATGAATCATTGTCCTTTTGCTTAGTTTCTTTTGTTACCCATTGGTTTAATTGAGGTCTGGAGCTGGCATGTCAGTTACTGCTAGTAATCCTTTGTTAAGTCATGAATCATTGTCCTTTTGCTTAGTTTCTTTTGTTACCCATTCTGACATCGGACTCGGACCTCTTTTAAACTGAGTTTTACTGTGCGTATTGCTGTGTGTTTGTTTACTCTACATTGGCTAGCTATAGTGGTATAGGGGGAGGGTTGAGATCTAACAAAACAGGTTTAACATTTTTGCGCCTGTCCCAAGTCAGGAGCCTCTGGCCTTTGTTAGTCTTATATTTTTTTTTTTATTTTAATTTTAGTGTGTCCATTTTTACTGAACTAGTATACATTTTTATTTAGGGGCCACCTGAAGCCCGCCTCTGGTTGCGAGATTTTCCTGTTGTGTTGAAGACCCATTGGTGGCCTTCGGCTGTTTTCTGCTCTTTGGTTGGGTTGTTGTCTCTTACATTCTTCATTTCCATTCTCAGTCTTAATTTCACCAATGAAACTTTACATTATTTTTTGCCTTTGTATTAAATTAATTTGTAAACTTCTTGGAACTCTACAATGAACGTCTGATTACAATTAGACACGCACAAATGTGAAATATGAAAACTTATTTGGCTCTCAATGCCTCAACCTTTTTTAATTTCACGTGGGTATCTACTTTGTTCAGTAAGATTTCGATTTTGACAATTATTTTGCAAACTACCATAGATTTCCGGTAATTGTTCTGCATAAAACCCCATGGGAAAGCACATTGGCATAATTTGCTAAACGTTTATTGGAACCCAATAATTTGGCAAGGAGAGGCAACCTGTAATGTGAAGACGTGAATGAAAATGCGGAGTTTGTAAGAGCAGGCTCAAGCAAGCAGCCACTCGCTAGCAGCCACTTCGCTAGCAGCCAGTTTTTCAGACATTTATATAAACCCAAATGTTGCATAAGATTCAAACGTTCTTCAGATGTTTTTATTAATATATAACCACTATATTATCAGTTTTTAATATATAATTAAGCAGTCAAAGACAATATTCAATGAATTTTAAAATTTCATTTCTTGTTCATTTATTATATAAATGCAATAGAAATCGCTTTCAATATATCACACAGCGTGCTGCACGCTTTACATTTTAAATAGTCAACACTTTTGAGTGTATATAGAATCGTAAATAATTATGAAATTAACTTAAATGTTGGCAAAATTGCGCTATTGTGTGAAATAGCTTACCATTTTCTCTGCATCCTATAAAATAGCTCATGAAAAGTAACTGTTGTTCTGCATTAGAAGAAAAGAAAGTTTCACTCGTTCTTTAACTTTTTTTTTGCCTCACAAAAACTGTTTTGACAAAACATTCTACTTCTGAACCAGTGGATTTCGCTTACTTATGATTGGACGAAAGGTATATTTTTTTGTACTCAAAGTATGGTGGACAAGGAAATTGTTTATTAGCTTTAAAAAAAATAACCTGTGCTATACCTTAACTAGGTATTTTGCTCAAGTAGGCGCTAGATCTCTAGCTTACGTTTGCACCTAGTGCGGACAAAAGTATTGCCGTAGAACTTTTTTTTATTATCTTTTCGGGAAGGGTTGGGTAGGGTAACCGACCTCAACTTTGGACCTACTTTAGAAAAAAAACTAAGACGAACAACACCCTGGATTTGTTCTACTGTAAACCTCAGCTACACAGCTTACCTTTGCACCTAGTGCGGACAAAAGTATTGCCGTAGAATTTTTTTTATTAACTTTTCGGTAATGGTGTGGTAGGGTGGGTAGCTGAGGTCTACTTGAGAAAAAATCCAGGGTGAAGTTCGGCTTTGTCTTTTTTATAATGTAATAAGCTGGCAAATTATGAAAGCTCACGTCTAAATTGATAGGCATAGAAACAAAAAGAAAACGTATGATAACCAATAACAATCTACCGGAGACAAAATATCGACGGTTTAGGCAACTAGTACGATTGTCTGGATACGGGGTTCTTCATTTCTGTATTCTTTGATATGTTATACCATTTTCCCTATTCTTTAATTAGTGTTTTATGCCATTTATCTCTATTCTTTATTTCTTTTTACTTTTTGCCAATTATTTTGTTCTATTCATATTTAAACACCTCATTATTCTATTTTTTTATGTCTTGGTTCATTGTCTCTTTTATTTATATTTTTTTACCACTATTCTCTATTCCGTAAACCCCCATCCACACCCTCCAGTTAAGGTCACCAAATAACTTTCACAAATAAGCAAAACTAGTACCGAATAGGCTCCGAATGGCAAAATGATTGAATGCTAATCCCGGTTTTAATTGTGAAATTGCGCAAATTTGTTTTTCAATCAATTGATCAAGCAAAACACATTATCGTCCTGGATGTTCGTATAATACTGGCAGATGGCTTGGTCATCAATTCTAATCATCTTAGATCAACCTTTCTCAACTTAAAAGAAAAGATCACGCACCCTTATTGTTCAAATTGATAAAGACTTTTGCATCCGTCGACATTAACTTCGATTTAAATACTATAGATCTGATAACCGTTGTGCATGTATACTTTAACGACTGGGCTAGTTTTCTTATCAGTTTTAAAAGTAGTAACCTCCCTTGTTAATGTAATGTTGTAATCTATCTATCTATTTGTACCATCTTAATATAATATTATATTGTATAATTTAAATTTATGATTCGTTTAATATTGAATTATAATATTTTTTATTTTTAGTAAAGATATAAACAAGGTAATTTGAAAGGCTTTGATTCATTTATCACCGTAGTTCAATTCATAAGTCAGGCGGTCTATTTTGTCTACATTATTTTGAAATTATACCGGGGTGTTTACATTGGCCTTATTTACTGTCAATAACTGTGAAACAAGAACGGAAAACATTGTACATAATAAAACGAGAAATAATTAAAATTTCATACAAAATGCATCATAAGTGAAATCAAAAACGAAAAACGGAAACACTTTTGATTTTCATTTTGGTATTAGAGAAATCAAAAACAAAAAATGAAAACACTTTCGTTTTCCGTTTTGGTTTTAGAGAAATCAAAAACGAAAAATGAAAATACTTTTGTTTTTCGGTTTGGTTTTTGAGAAATCAAAAACGAAAAATGAAAACACTCTCGTTTTTAGTTTTTTGTTTTTGATATTTCAAAATGAAAAACGAATGGACGCAAATATACACGGACCCTTTTGATATTCATTTTGGTTTTTGAAAAAACTAAAACGAAAAATGAAAACACTTCCGTTTTTCGTTTTGGTTTTCTTTAAATCAAAAATGAAAAACGAAAACACTTTTGTTTTTCATTTTGGTTTTTAAGAAATCAAAAACGAAAAATGAAAACACTTTCGTTTTTTGTTTTTTGTTTTTGGTATTTCAAAACGAGAAACGAATGGACGCAAATATACACGGACCATACACGGACCCTTGTCGTCTAAGGGTGTATATTTTAATGGCATACAAAAATGTTTACCCCAAAAACGTCCTCTCGTTTTTTCTTTCTTTTAATTTCATCATTGAAAGGGCAGGGGTTCGTGCATCATTTGCCAAAACCTTGTTGAAATTCACCATTGCCTTATATGTCTATGTAACATGTTTAAGTGTGAGTTTGCATTGCTATACGACGTGTGTTGGTATTTTGTACATCCAACATTCATGTATTTATGTTTGATGTTTCTGTTATGGTTTCGGTTGAATAATATGTTAAGTCTTATCGTTTGTTGTCCAAATAATTATATAAGTGCATTTCAATACCATCATTTGTATATTCCAGAATATGACTTTTATACCGAGTGTGAATTGGCATTGTTATACGACGTGTCTCGGTATTTAGTTCAACCAACACTTATATTTTTATTTTTGATGTTTCTGTTATAGTTTCGATTGGATAATCTGTTATGTCTTATCGTTCGTAATCCAAATAATTATAAAATAACCTTTCCATAACATCATTGTCATGAAAATTGTTTGGACGAGTATGTTGAAAATAATTGTATTACGTTCGAGATTGCATGTTATTTACGTATGCGCGTCATTTTTTATATCATGTGGTGATTATGCATGTTGTGGTTGAAAGAATATGATCGTTGTTGTTTTGCGGTTTGCATGTTGTGTCGGCTATAATGTTGTTTGTTTGTGCGTTTCTCCGAGGTGGGTGTTCTTGCGTGTATTTCTGTGGCGTGGTGTTGTCTTTTTAGCGATTTTTGTAGCATTGTCATAAGGCGGAGGGTTTGGCTTGTCATTGGACCGGGTTCGGTCCACCGTTTTTCCTTGGGGTGTCCTGTGCCAGGTCGGGGGTGTGGCAGTTGTTGTAAAATAGTTCGTTTTTATGTGTGTTGACGTTTGTTTTTGTTGCACTTCAGTGTTTCTGTTGTTTCTTTGTTTTCCTCTTATATTAAAATTGATGTGTTTCCCTCGGTTTTAGTTTGTAACCCAGATTTGTTTTCTTTTTATCGATTTATGACTTTTGAACACCGGTATACCATGTGTACTACTGTTTTCTTTATTTATGGTATATTGAATATTACCAATTTTGGGTCCCTAAAAACCGTCGAAAGCATTAATATAGGCATATATTATTGTGTGTTTTAAGACATGTTCCCATTAGGAATATCCATGACTGTTAAAATTTAAAAGTAAATTTGAAATGTGATGCTTTTTTATATGTATTTGTAGTCTGAAAGTGTATGAACATGATGAATGGTTTTAAAGTACTGAACAAAACGAAATTCTGGCCAGTTCAGAAAACATATATATCTATTTTACAAGAAAAAAAAAATTCGTTTTAATTCCTGCAAAAAATTGCCAACGCTATTATTGTTTATAAACTTTGAAAATCACAAACTCTTCTCGAATTTGACCGTTTGAAATTTAAGAGATTTTCAAACAATTTGGCTTTCTGACATAAGAAAAAAAAAAGAAAATTTATTGACAAATTTCTGTTTTTTCCACCAAATCTTCTACCGTTAATAAATTTCTTTTAATGAAAGTTATAAAAAAAACGTGCTTATCTTGTAAAAATCACAGCAACCACTGTCCTCCTCAACCTACCCCAAACGGTGGCCAGTGTCTAAATTTACTGATACGATAATAACCATCAATGACAACGGATATGGTATTGCTTAATTTTTAATGGCATTAAATATGACTGAGAAAAGAATATATAATTCTATCGCTTTCTCTTTTTACAATTACGCAGTAAAACACAGCCTTCACCGATAGTAAACTTTCACAAGTTATCTACCTTTTATCGTAGACTAAAGTGCAAGTCAACCAGTGGAATTTTTATTATTGAATCGGAAAGGTAAATATTCCTTTAAAATTATATAAGTATGTAATTACAGTCTGGTGCTGAACTGTTAAAATTGGTCTAGGTAACCATTAATGTCAGAATCATTGAAATATAATTAAAATGAGGCGTATATTGAACGAGACAAAGAGTCGGGTAATTTCATTATTATAATACTTCCTTGTACAGTACGATAAATCAAAGTACTGTAGTACGGTTTACTCCGATGATCCAAATATCTGATGGTTAACGAATTACTGATAGAGATTTTCTCCCAATTTCGAAGCTAGTACAACGTTCATTGCGACACCATGGATTCAATATTCCTTCCGTACCAATACTTAAAATTGAAATTAATGATAAAGGGCAATATATGATCGTCCTGCAATGGATAAAAATGAAAATAACACGTTAAAAATTGCATCCGTCCGAAGCGCTTTTTAACTCACCTGGCCCGAAATACCAAGTGAGCTTTTCTCATCACTTGGCGTCCGTTGTCGTCGTCGTCGTCGTTGTCGTCGTCTTCGTCGTCGTCTTCGTCGTCGTCTTCGTCGTCCGTCGTCGTCGTTAATTTTCTACATACTTCTAAAGAACCACTGAATGGAATGAAACTAAACATGGCATGAATGCTCCTTATAAGGTGTTGACCATGTGTTGTTACCTTGAGGCCGATCAATCATCCAAGATGGCTGCCAGCGGGGGACTTAGTTTAACATAGGACCCTATATACAATACCTACAAAGTCTTCTTTTAGAGAACCACTGAACGCAATGAAACCAAACATGGCATGAATGTTCCCTAAGAAGTCTGACCAAGTGTTGTTACATTGAAGCCAATCCATTATCCAAGATGGCCGCCAGCGGGGGACTTAGTTTAACATAGGACCCTACGGGAAATAAATACAAATGTCTTCTATTAGAGAACCACTGTATGGAATAACACCAAACATGACATGAATGTTCCCTATGAGGTGCTGACCAAGTGTTGTTACTTTGAAGCCGATTCATCATCCAAGATGGCCACTAGCGAGGGACTTAGATTTACGTAGGACCCTATGGAAATACATACAAATGTCTTCTTTTAGAGAACCACTGAATCCAATGAAACCAAAAATGGCATTCATGTTCCCTATGAGGTGCTGACCAAGTGTTGTAATATTGAAGCCAATCCATCATCCAAGATGGCCGCCAGCGGGGGACTAAATTTAACATAGGACCCTTGGGAAATACATACAAATGTCTTCTTTTAGAGAACCACTGTATGGAATGAAACCAAACATGACATGAATGTTCCTTATTAGGTGCTGACCAAATGATGTTACTTTGAAGCCGATCCCTCATCCAAGATGGCCGCCAGCGGGGGACATTTTTTAACATAGGACCCTAATGACAATACATACAAATGTCGTCTTTTAGAGAACCACTGTATGGAAAGAAACCAAACATGACATGAATGTTCCTTATTAGGTGTTGACCAAGTGTTGTTACTTTGAAGCCGATCCATCATCCAAGATTGCCGCCAGCGGGGGACTTACATTTGTGTAGGATCATTTGAGAAACACATACAAATGTCTTCTTTTAGAGAACCACTGTATGGAATGAAACCAAACATGACATGCATGTTCTTATGAGGTGCTGGCCAAGTGTTGTTACATTGAAGCCAATTCATTATCCAAGATGGCCGCCAGCGGGGGACTTTGTTTAACATAGGACCCTTTTGACAATACATACAAATGTCTTCTATTAGAGAACAACTGAATGCAATAAAACCAAACATGGCATGAATGTTTCTTATGAGGTGATGAGCAAATGTTGTTACTTTGAAACCGATCCATCATCCAAGATGGCCGCCAGCGGGGGACTTAGTTTTACGTAGGACCCTATGGGAAGTACATACAAATGTCTTCTTTACAGAACCACTGAATGCAATGAAACCAAACATGACATGAATATTCCCTATGAGATGCTGACCAATTGTTGTTACATTGAAGCCAATCAATCATCCAAGATGGCCGCCAGCGGGGGACTTAGATTTACATAGGACCCTATGGGCAATACATACAAATGTCTTCTTTTAGAGAACCACTGAAGGCAATGAAACAAAACATGCCATGAATGTTCCCTATGAGGTGCTGACCAATTATTGTTACATTAAAGCCAATCCATCATCCAAGATGGCCGCCAGCGGGGATCTTTTTTTAACATAGGACCCTAATGACAATACAAACAAATGTCTTCTATTAGAGAACCACTGAATGCAATGAAACCAAATATGGCATGAATGTTACTTATGATGTGCTGACCAAGTGTTGTTACTTTAAAGCTGATTCATCAATAAAGATGGCTTCCATCGGGGGGCTTAGTTGAACATTGGACCCAATGGGAAATCATACAAAGGTTTTCTTCTGGATAACCGCTAAATGGAATGAAACCAAACATGGCATAAATGTTCCTTATGAGATGCTGATGTAATGTTGCTACTTTGTTACCGATTTACTGCTCAAGATGGCCACCAGGATATTTATTAAATTACGGGGCATAATTAAACCAAATTAGGCCTCAATCATTATTAGGGTATCTGTTGTGATTTCAATCTATTTTTACATGATTTCCAAAACCAAAGTAGAATCAGGTGAGCGACACAGGCTCTTGAGAGCCTCTTGTTTGGATTTACCTTCATTAGGAACGCTCAAAAGCCAAATATTTAAAGGTCAAGGATTTATAAGAGCCAAAAAGGTTGATTAAAGGTTAAAGATGATCGTTCAAAATGTACGTTCAATGATTTCATCTCCCAACGTGATTGCCGATTGTAAGAAGTCGTAAAACAAAACAACAAAATCTGAAATCAAATTTGAGGGAAAACACGTGTATTGAACCATTTTATTGCTTAACGTTCAGTGTAGAAAATATGTACATACTCAACCCTACCATATTATTTTGATTACTTCGAGTTGTCAGTTTTCATTGTTACTCCTAAATGATGGGTGCTTCGAAAATTAAATAGTTCTTAATTAATTATCCGAAACGCTAAGCTTATGTTAGTAAATTAATCTGTTTGATGCAGGTTTAAATAGGTTAAAAAAATTAATAGATGCAAAGCCTTAAAAATTACAGGATACTGTTATCTCATGTGATGTCCAATTTGTTTAAAGAAAAACAACTTTTTCTTTAAAAGATTTTTTTTGCAAACAAAAATGATTTGATTTATTTATTGCTTTTTATTCCTTACTAAGAATGATCATAATCAGCACCGTGTTTCTTGTTTTAAAATTAAAGTTTCTGCATTCGAAAAATATTTATTTTGTTATTCAATTTTTCACCGCTTACAACTGTATGCCTCTGGTTTTATTTGTTACATGAAATTTAAGTTACAGTAACTTTTCATTTAATTTTGTTTCATTTCTTTTTGCGTTGTTTGTTTCGTTCCGCTTTTGTTCGTTTCGTTCCGCTTGTGTTCGTTTCGTTCTGCTTTTGTGCCGTTTCGCACTTTACAGGTACACCAAACGCGATAATGAATCGTATATGTATGTTCTCTTTTCGTCTGTTTTCTATTTTTTATATCTTAATCAAAAATTTTAAAAATCAAACTTTCAAAAAGCGAAATACATGTAATCAAAACTGCACGTTAAGTTTAGTACTTTTAAAGTTTGATCAAATATCTAAACAATCACACTTTAAAATGATGTTCAGAATTTTAAGATTTTAATTATTTGGTGAAAATTTCAAAATTTCAAAAATTTTCCTAAATTTGGAATGTTGATATTTTTAAACTTAGATCAAAATTTCAAAAAACTAAATTTGAAAACTTTTAAAAATTTTGAATCATAAATTTTACACGGGCCATCTTTGCATATACATGAGCTAATCCTCATTATGATGATGTTTTGTTAAATGTAGCAATGTTGCCTTTTACGGAAGGGTATTAGGGCCATCCTTTTTTGTTAATTGTCGACTCTAACCTAGGAATTATCAACTTCAAACTTGGAATTTTCAACTTTATATCTTGAAATTATCAACTGTAATCTTGTAATTATCAAAATTAATTTTGGAATTATAGACTTTAATCATGGAATTATCAATAAGATTAAAGTTGATATTTCCAAGATTAAAGCTGGAAATTCGAAGATTAAAGTTGATAATTCCAAGATGAAAGTCGACAATTTGAAGAAAAAAAGTTAAAAAAGGATGGCCCTAATTTGCTTCCGTAGCCTTTTACCTTGAATACCACAAATTTTATATAACACCCATGAATAGCTAAAATGATCACACCGTCAACAAGAACGTCATATTATCGACACCATGCATCTATTGACCCCTTAAAGAAATTGTTGCCCTAAAATATCACCTTGAAATTATATTTGTTAAATGTTCCAACTTTATTTAACTGACTTAAAGGTGATAAAACCAATCATATATAGGAACGATTATAAACGATGAAATTCCAAATGAATGTTCACCGAATAAAAACATCAATTTTTAGAAATTTCCAATTATAGATCACTCAATTCGGAGTGTGTTCAGTGATCATCCAAGAACATTGTCATAACACTAGCAAAGACAAATGTGAAATTATTCATTTATTGATAATTATGAATCTATTACCCAGGGGTAAGTGGCATATCAATAAAACAAAAAATACACATGCAATTAATAAAAATGGCATGGAAAAACATGCAGTAAAAATGATTCAAAATCATACTATTTATTTAGGTGTGATGACACATCAGCAGTCTATAGCAGCCACTATTGTAGACAGATTAAAAACTGAAATACAATTACTGGGGATTCATTATAATTCGTGGGATACCAATTTTCGTGGATTTCGGGGCTACAGGTGAACCACGAATCCAAATGTTCAACGAATTACACATTTTCTATAGGCTTAGTATACAGATTGTCTAAACCACAAAATCAAATATCCATGAAAATGTAATTTTCCTTAATCCACGAAAATTGATACCCACGAAAATAAGTGAATCCACAGTAGTTCATTAATGATTTATATACATCGGCTTTAATTACAGCTTGTATTTTGATTTATTACTTTTTAATATATTCAATTTCAAATATAGGTCTGAACGCAGACTAATCTATGAATTTAAAGCAAAAAAAAAATCAAAAGGTGAGTGCATTGTGAGCTTGCATTTTGTACATAGATAATATGGATATTTCCATCTTAAGCACCTATGTCAAACACCTGTCTATTAACTTTTTCCTTAATTCTTTTTAATCACTGTTCTATACGAAATCAAGTTTGGCCATCAACTTATATACCGTTTCAATGTTTAAAATTACAACCGATGTTCCATAAGTTTATTCAAATAATAAACTGTTTACACAGCGATATGTCTTGTCTGTTTGTACTTTTGATAATTCAAATGTTCAAATTAAAATAGCGATTCTTTAACATGTATGTTATGCAAATATTCAAAGTCAATGAACCTTGACTGAAGGTACATGGCTAAACAATGTCATGGAAATGAGATGTGCAAATGCTAATACAACTGAATACCAATACCATTTACTTATAATAAGTTATTCCCTTCAAACAAACCTAATCAGAAACATAAACTTGTAAACTGTGTAAAAGTTTCAAAGTCAATGAACCAAGATGATGGGGTGGGGATTTATAATTTCCATGGAAACGAGACTTGCACATGCCAATACATTTGCATCCTAAATATAAATAACTAAACATTAGCGGTTCATCTTAAACTGATCTAATTACAAACTAATTCATGTAAACTAAGCAAAAGTGTCAAAGTCAGTAGGTAATAACTGAGGGGGCGGGCCAAATATTCTCCATGGAAATAAGATGTGCTAATGCTTATACAACTGCATACCACTAACAGTTCCCCTTGAACTGACCTAATCAAAGACTAATACATGTAAACAAAGCAAAAGTTTAAAAGTCAATAAACCATGACTAGCTAAATAATCTCCATGGAAATAAAATATGCAAACGTTTATACAACTACATACCATCAATATCATAGACATACCACTGGTGGTTCACTATAAACTAGACCTAATCAAAACAAATACATTATTGACGCCGCCACCTCCGCCGTCGCCGTAAACAGCATACCTATTTCTTGATTTTTGACTCTGTCAAGGCGAGACAAAATTGGAACATATGTTCCTGTTACCTGACTATCGTAAAATAATTTGCATTATATATGAAAATTTTTTTCGTTAAAATCGGAACATACTTTTAAGTTGCATTTGAAGTGTAAAGTCTATCGTCAAAGTTTAGCTATTTTTGGTCGGATTGTTTTGATCGTTCAATACTATGTGCTTAAACTACAGACATTGTCCATACTCGAAAAAAAACAACGTTTAACCCAGATACTGTTTAAATTTGATGGTTTTCGGGGTAATTGTTCCACAGTTGAGGGAAATATTTCAAACGTGATAACTCGATTACATGTTATTATACTACAAAAAGTATCCACTCCTATTGTTTTTGTACAGGTGTATCATTGGTGGCTATAATCAAACAATAAACTAACGTTTGCTATTGTATTTTCCAGGAAATGGCGTCAAAATCCCCTAACATGTTTTGTGGAACCTGTTCAAGAAGAAGTAAATCCACCAAAGCTGTAAAGTACTGTACAGACTGCGAGGATGCACTGTGTTCAGAATGTTTAGATGTTCACGGAACAATTAAAGCTTGTGCGTCTCATCATGTTATAGATGTCAATGTGATTGACGGAAGTCCATTTATTGTAAATAAATTTTGCGCAGTCCATCCGGTTATGGTTTTAGAACTGTTTTGCTCTGACCATGATACATTGTGCTGTCGGTCATGTATGGCTAGTCATCATCGCTCTTGTGACAAGTTATTGCCAATTGAAGTAGCTGCGAAAGGAGTCAAAACTTCAACCATGTATGAGGAAATTAACACGGATGTCCATATTCTTAATACCGCTGTTAACGAGCTGGAAGATAAAAAGAGAAAAGGCATGCTAAGTCTTAATGATAGTACGGAGATTGTTCAGCAAGACGTTAAAAACTTGAAAGGGCAATTGCAGAAGCGGATTCAAGAAACTGAAGCAGCTCTTATGTCTGAAATTGACAAAATACATACAAACCTGTCAAAAGAATCAAGTGACGACCTTGACAAAATATGCGATCAACGAAAAAAGATACAAAATATTTCTGAACAATTTTTATCTGTCACAAAACATGGATCAGAATGTCAAATATTTATGTTCATTAATAATATAAAAAAAGAATTGAACTGTCAGGTAAATGATTTTCAAGAACTGCTATCGTCCCAAAAAGATGTATCTCTTTCGTTTAAAGAATCCGATTTATTGATCGTTATGAAATCATTTGGTTCAGTGGAAATGAAAGAGGCTTCCCTTAATATCAAATGCAAACCGTTGAAGGGCCAGCAAGCTCAAAAATTGCAGCAGCAGAGAAAGATTCCAACACAATTCAAGCTTGATGCTAAATTCAAAGTAGCTGGTGCAAGTATTGCCGCCATAGGTGTGACAAAAGACAATAGATTGTTTCTGTGTAATCAAACCAGTAGAAATTTGTATGTTATGTCAGACACAGGTCAACAGTTTGCAACAATTCAAATGAACGGAACTCAGTGGGGGATAGCTATCGAAGAAGAAAAGAATTTAGCATGGATCACACTACCAGGAATAAACTCTATTCAAACAGTGAATATAGTTACAATGACGAAGGGGCAACCGATTAAATTACTGGAAAGATGTTACGGTATTGCTCTTATTGACGACCAAATTGCTGTTGGTGGTATTGGGAAAATACACATTATAGGCAGAATCGGTAACTTAAAGAAGACACTTGATGTTGGGGAAATAAATTATATTTACTCAATATCAGTTTGGGACAAACAGCAACTTTACTATGCTCAATTATCAAAATTGAAATGCGTAGGATTAGATGGAACAGTTACGTCTATCTCTACTGAAGATTCTTACCAAGTGATTGATGTTAAACAAGACAGAATAGGAAATGCATATTTACTAGAATACCAAGCAGCAAATTTTAAACTGTTTTCATTTGAAAATAAATCTATAAAAACTATTTTGACAAAAAAGGATGGACTGAATAATCCATATGGCTTTGCTTTCAGTAAAGATTTTTCTAAACTTTTTATTTCAAATTACTCTTCAAGTAAAATTTTGGTATTTTTGTGCAAATGAAAACCAAAGAATTGTTTGTTGAAAAGTAATTGAACATTATATACCATTGCATCTGTTTGACATGCTTGATTAAAGAAGTTATTGAGGATATCTCAATTATTATATAGACATTTTTTATCAAAGCAGACTAATAAGCTGGTCGTTAAGGTAATGTGAAATGAAATGCTAGGGAATATCTAACAATTAAAAGAAACTATGCTTTCTGTATTACTGTTCGTCAACACTAATGTTGTTACATTGGGTTCCTTGAGATTTATTGATAACCGGTACATATAATTATAGTCTTTGTCTGGATATTTGCCAAAACCAATACGATAAACGAGTTATTTTTTTAATATTTAGCTCGTAAGGCATTACTAACTTTCTTAAGGGCAATACAGATGAGGACAGTAAAATGGTGATATGTTCGGCATGATAAAGTCCTATTAAATTAATTTTTGTGCAGCAATTTCTTGTTTAATTTTTTATATAAAAGTGATTCTTCCTTTTATTATATCTACACAGTGAAACTTTGCTTCTACTTCGTATCCAAATATCCCTTAAAAAAAATTCCGTAATATTTCCGATACTAACAATGAACAAGAGCAAAAACATGTACTGAACCTTTTCTTTCTAAAAATTGTAAATACTGATTCATTTTGATAACATGAAATTTAACAAACAATTAAGAAGATTCTCGTTTTCAGCATGTGACAAAATGGATATAAAACACACATAAATGAGGTTAGCATACAGGTTCATACTGTCGTTTTAATATATGTTTTGATGCTGCCTTAATAAAAGCACAACTGCAAAAGTCTTTCGTTAATTTATGTATCATCGTCATTTTGCTTAGTTTCTTCTGTTACCGATTCTGACATCGCACTCATACTTCTTTTAAACTGAGTATTACTGTTCGTATTGCTATGTGTTTGTTTATTCTACATTGGCTAGATGTATAAGGGAAGGGTTGAGATCTCACAAAACATGTTTAACCCCGCCGCATTTTTGCGCCTGTCCCAAGTCAGGAGCCTCTGGCCTTTGTTAGTCTTGTATGTTTTTTTTAATTCTAGTTCATTTATATGGTTGACAGTTTAATGTGACGTCCATTGTCACTGAACTATTAAATTAGTTTAAAATTTATGTTTAGGGGCCAGATTTTCTTGCTGTATTTAAGATCCATTGGTGGCCTTCGGCTGTTTTCTGATCTTTGGTCGGATTGTTGTCTCTTTGACACATTCCCCATTTCCATTCTCAATTTTATTTCATGTTCACTGTATACACCAAATATTGCTGAACTGAGAACTTCTTTTGCATTCTATTAACCGATGCGATTAGAATCAACAAAAGCAAGGTACAGCTAAAAGAAACTCACTAATACAGAAAATGATTTTTAAGGAATACAAATGCGGTTCATCTGTACATATATTTATACAAGACAACTGTTGAAAAACTTATTGAAGTAGAATGGTTTTGGAACTCATTGCAAAAATAAACTGAAAAGAGGATCCATATTCACATCTGTTTTTTTTCAGAACAGGAGTGGCGGGACATATTGTCCAAATGGTATTGTTGAATTGGATATGTTAATTGGTCTCATTAGTTGTAGAGTTCCATATCCTGAATAAAAAATGGAGAGAGAAGATACCCTGGTGGTAGTCTAAAATCACAAGTCAAATAAAACATACAGTACTTACCATCGGTAAAAACTTTAAAAAAGACGTAAACTGGCAAAATATATGGAAATAGTATTTCCCTATTAGCAGTCATTTTGGTTCAATTTTGTCAAAATAAGATAAAAAAAAAATCACTGATTCATTTATTGGCTTGTTATAATTTTGAACTATATTGCAAATGATGAAAGTAAAGTTTCATTAAAATAACATAAGGGTTGTTCCTAAATTGATTATGGTGGGGGGTTGGGAGGTATTAAAATTAATCAATTATGGTTGATTGCATTTTCCTTAGAATTTTGTAAGATTTATAAGTAGATGACAATTTTATAATGGGTGGTTGACGTCTAAAAAAGAGCCTTCAATGTCCACCATGCATTCAATAATGGAGCAGCCCTAAGTCAACACTTTCTTACAAAGGGAAACAAAAATGGCAAAGATATAATCAGAAGAGTTAAAAGTCAGATATTCTTGACCTATCCTCAAATTTGATGCTGTTTAGGATTCTCAGTCTTTACTACGGCTACAATTTGCAGATGAGAAAATTGTGCCACAAAGTCTGTTGCTGTTTTTCATCTTGAAAATTTCTTACTTATTGGTCATCAACTACATGCCTTAAATAGTAACAAGAGTGCACACGCTGAAATGTCTCGCCTTCTTTACTGACCATTGATTTTATGTTGATAGTCCTAAATATAAAGCTTTACTACAACTATCACATAAACTTAACATGATCCAAGAAAATGAGGGCAAGGTCAGATAAACCAAACTGGAAATACATGTACACCTTACAATCATTCCATACACCAAATGTGCTTTAAATATAGTTGACCTGTTGTACATGGTATCTAAGAAACAAACTTAACCACGAAAACTTAACATTGATCAATGAGCCATGAAAATGTGGTCAGGGTTGCATGAACCCTGCCAGACAGAGTACACCTTACAATCCTTACATGCTTTAAATATAGTTGAACTATTGCATAAAGTATCTAAGAAACAAACTTAACCAGAAAACTTAAAATTGACATATGAACCATGAAAATGAGGTCAAGGTCAGATGATAATTGCCAAACAGATATATACACCTTACAATCATTACATACACCAAATATAGTTGACCTATTGCATATAATATTGGAAAAACAGACCAAAAAACAAAAAACTTAACATTGAGCAATGAACCGTAAAAATGAGGTCAAGGTCAAATAAAACATACCAAACTGACATGTACATCGTAAAATATTTTCATACACCAAATATATAGTTGACTTTTTGGATACAGTATTAGAAAAACAGACCAAAACACAAAAACTTAACTTTAACCACTGAACCATGAAAATGAGATCAAGGTCAAATGACACCTGCCAGTTGGACATGTACATCTTTGAATCATTCCATACACCAAATTTAGTAGACCTATTGCTTATAGTATCTGAGATATGGACTTGACCACTAAAACTTAACCTTGTTCACTGAACCATGAAATGAGGTCGAGGTCAAGTGAAAACTGTCTGACAGGCATGAGGATCTCGCAAGGTACGCACATACCAAATATAGTTATCATATTACTAATAATAAGAGAGAAATTAAGAATACTAAAAATCTTTTTTTTATAAGTAGTCACAGAACCATGAAAATGAGGTCAAGGACAATGGACAAATGACAGACGGAAACTTCATAACATAAGGCATCTATATACAAAGTATGAAGGATCCAGGTCGTCTACCTTCTCAAATATTAGGCTTTTAAAAAGTTTGTTTACGCCGCCGTCAGACCACCACCCTATGTCCAGCTTTCTGCGACAGAAGTCAAAGGCTCGACAAAAACTACTTTTTTATGTGAAAATGAATGAAAGAGAATTGCCAATTTCATACTTTGGTTTAATGAAATGGTAAATGGTCTAGCTGTTTACATCCTTATCATTTGGTCTGTGGTGAATAGTTATCTCATTAGCAATTATACCCCATCTTATTTTAAAATAAAATATTTTCATATAGTTTCCAGCTGTCATGCACCAAAACTAGAAGCTCTAAAGAACCTGTTTTGCTTACCTAAGTCTATGTGCATCTTCAACAATGGACACTCTCCAACATTGTGGAATAGAATCGAATGACCTTGTATTGCTGATCATTTACAGTTTCTCTCTATCTTCTTTAGTTTTTGCCCAAAACACAAAAACGGGTTGAAAACATTGCCAGTTAAGAGCAATCACTCCTTTAAAGGCCGTCTACATACGATTTCGGCAAAATTCGACTTATTTGTAGACCTTGTCTTGCTCAATCTAATTAGAATTAAATCTCCGCACTCGCTTATTTTTTTATGCTTGGTCGCTGCCCACGCAGCGACCAAGCATAAAAATGAGCGAGTGTGGAAATCTGATTTTAATTAGATTGTGTCTTGCTGATCATTATTGCTATTTAAAGTGTCTATCTCATTTATCACTTATAGTTTTTTCAAGATAATATGCAAAACCCTAAAATATTGGTAAATATCATCACGAAAGAGCAAGAACTCCAATAAGTTGACTGATGATTTTGGCTATTTTGACTTATTCGAGATCTAATCTTGCTCATCATTTTTGCTTTTTGAAGTGGCTATTTATCTATAATAGTTTTCAACATAAGAGGCAGAACACTAAAAATTGGTAAAAATCGTAATTAAAGAGCCATTACTCCCATAAGTAGTGTACTGATGATAAAGGCCGTTAGATTTATTTGTATATCTTGTCTTGATGATCATTTTTGCTTATTTAAGTTTCTATCTATCTATTATAGTTTTTCAGATATAAGACAAAAACCCCAAAATTTGGTAAAAATCTACATTAAAGAGCAAGAACTCCAATAAGTTGTCGTCAGACGATTTCAACAACTAAACCTGTTTGTAGATCTTATCTTGCTGATCATTTTAGCTTATTTAAGTTTCCATCTATCTATTATAGTTTTTGAGACATTAGGCAATAACGCAAAAAAAGGATAAAAATCGTTATTAAAGGGCAATAACTCCAATAAGGGGTCATCAGACGATTTCAACAATTGAACTGATATGTAGATCTTTTGCTGATCATTTTTTGCTTATTTAAGTTTCCATCTATCTATTATAGTTTTTGAGATATAAGCCAATAACGCAAAAAATAATAAAAATTGTCATTAAAGGGCAATAACTCCAATAAAGAGTCGTCTGACGATTAAGATTGTGTTGTCATATATGTTGATCTTGTCTTGTTGATTATTTTTGCCATTTAAAGTTTCTCTCTATTATTATTTTCAAGACAAAAATGAAAAAAAAATGGTAAAATTCGTCTATTAAGGGCAATAACTCCTATAAAAAGTCGTCTGACTAGATATCCTAATGATGATTGTGGCAAAGTTTGGTTAAATTTGGCTCAGTAGTTTAAGAGACGTTTTTGTAAAAGTTAACGACAACGGACGACGACAGAGGACGACGGAC